AGGCATCATAATCACTGCAATTAAATGGTACTGTACAGGTTGAATAAGAGCTCCTGTAAACAAAACATTAATTATTACAATCGGTATACACCATAATAGAATATAGCTGGTTCATAGAATTCTATATTTCTTTAGGGCCCTTTGAAATGAAGGATAAAATAGCATGTCTGCTTCCTTCTCGGTGTGGTAGTTAATTTCTGAACATGATGACTGGAAATGTGCGTCTATATGTACATGTAGGTGCATTTACCCTTCCTTGAAGAACATTTAGAACACTTCAAACACACCAGCCTTCTTTCATCAAAGATGTAGCAGTTATTAGATTAAAACAGACAAATATCATATATTCTTCAGTAGAGGAATGGTTTTGGTACTGGTGATCTTAAACTTTGGACGTGATTACATGTATCAGGTTTGCTTAGATGGTCAATTGCTTGCACACACAACTGTATACACGCTTTGTCTTTGACCCTATGTAATCGTTCTGCATTTCTGTCCATTGGTAATATTCTAACCCTCATGGAGTTAGAGGCTGAACTGGTTTCAATTGGAAGGCCGTAATCACTGAATTCCAAGGCCCAGTGGGTGGTTAATACAGGCCCGGTGTGGGACATCTTCTCAAAGAACCTAAAATACTGAACATAACTTGGTTTCACTTTTCACTGACTTAATGTCCCCACTTGAAGACAGCGCATTTTTATTCGAACATGGTTGTGTTGCCCCGCTTGTGCCTTGTTTCTATTGATAATTTCCCGGCTTGAAGTCGGCTTGAAGTCGGTATTGAGGGTACAAGCATGGCCTTTGTGAAGTGCTTATGAGATCTACTTTCTCTGTGTCACACCTCAGCTTGATACAACTTCACTCAATATGTTAATTTAATTGAATTGATCTTTATTTCATTCATCATAAAAACATCATAACAAACATATAAAATACAAAACATAGCGTACAATTTAAAGAGCAACATTTACAATAGAATACAACAACAATATGAATGTGGAGACAGCTAGGAACGGCTTTATTGGTGCTGCCACCAAAACAGTAATGCAGTATTATATTGTTGTTTAAAAAGGTGATTAATTTTTATTTTTTTTGAAGACAAAAAAAAAACTAATGCCTAAATAGAGTGGGAAAAAACAAAAACAAAAATGGTAATACAAAATGTTGGTAAGTTCATGGTGATCAGCGTTCGATTTCTTGAAATTTGTAGTGAGGAAAATCGTCATGCAAATTGTATGCAATTTTCCTCATTACAGTCACTTCGTGAAAATAGGGACAAATTTATGGTTCATTTGCTTGATGCACAAAACTGCAGTGGTTTCTTTTATGTGTAGATTAAATGGCAAGTGAGGGTAAAAAAATGTGTAAATATATATATATTTATATATTTATACAGTATCTATAAATCTGCTGCAATTTACAATGTCTGATGTGAATATGCCTCATACAGTCATGATGAGTTCTGGTCATATGAAATAGCTACTGTACTTCTTTTAAAAAAAATTATTCAAAAATATATTTCAAAGTTGTTATATTTATTTTAAGGCTTCTCTGTGTATTAGCACATACATTTTAGATTGAATCTTGTAACTACCATCCCAGGTTTCTGAAATTGAATATTTCCTTTCTACGAAGCCTGTATCTTCTTGAAGTCTACCCATATGATACATGTACATTCTTCTCATGGGAAATTCTCTCATATGAAACATCGAAAGAACGCTAAAGAAATAACTACCTTTGACATTTTTGTGAGCTTTGGAAAATTTTGTCCTGTGAGTGTGACTGGACAAAAGGCAAAAAGCATACATGTACATCTTCACAGCTAACAACTTGATTAACTTGACTTGAGTATATCATATGAGGCCACCCCAATTAAAGTTGATATCCTATACATTTATTTGCTGGTAGCTAGCCTTATGGTACCTTTACTGCACTACATTTAATTTATTTCTGCAATGTATGACCGCATGAAATCTCCAACAGTTATTATCTTTTCCACCCACCCTCTTTTAAATCTTTTTATTAATGATGTGAAATATTGCTCTAGTGGTTATTATGCATTGTGTGCTTTGTGCTGTAAAACTCTTAATCATGTATGATTTGTAAAACCACCTAAAAAAACTACAGAAGAAAACTGAAGTGAGTTATATAAAGCATAGTACATTTAACATTTCTACATCCTGCATGTATATCAGACAAATAGAGAGTACCGGTATGCATAATAGCTGTAGTTTCAAACAGCAAAGTGTTTTTGTTTGAACAGGTCTTTACATATTGACTATATAAACATGTATGTTCATTCTGACTGCATCTAGAGATTTTCATTGAATTCTACATAGGCAAGACACTCAATTAAGTGTAATATTAGCAGTCTAGGGGGAAACAAAGCTGTTGTATAATTGCACAATGATCTCCACGCTACTCTCTTTCAAATCCTCACACCTTCTACCTGTGATTGCTCATGGGTTCAGATTTTTGCCGGCCAATCTAAATTTAGAATAACTTGTCTATTTCCAGCACATTGTTGTCAAACCTTTTTTAGCCTCTCTGAATGTGAAGTAATGAGCTGCAAAATAAGAGGACATTTTAAATAGCATTGAAAAGCAGGTATTCTATTTCCTTCTCATATTGAAAGAGATAGGGTCAGGATTTTTCGAAATCTGCACATTTAACAAAGAAGGTTTTACTTCAGTGGACTGTTGTCTAGTTTTTACCGCCATTGAAAAAGAGAGATATGATGGTGCAAGAAATTTGTCCAGCATACACCCTTTCTAACTAAACATCTTCTGCATGTATGTAGCCTAACCTTGGTTCTATTTTTCTCTGTCTGTATATTTGCTAGTAACCTAACAACAGGAGAGAGTGGCTGGATATGCAAAAGCAATAGATTGTAACGAAGTGCTTATCAATTAAGTATTGTCAATTAATTGATGAGCTTGCTTGGTCCTCCTCCCCCCCCCCCCCACGAAAACTCACATCAATTGAAGAGCATTTACATTGTAGGTGTGAGCGATCTAAATCTTTATTCACAGTATCAACTAAGTGCTTGTTTTTAATAAAACACTGTACACACTCTATTTTCGATGGCAGTTTTATGAGGAAATGTTGTGTATTGAAACAATATGTATCAAGGCTGACCTGTGCTAAAAATAAATGTGTATTTATATGTAGAATGGAGGTAGTCAATTTGACAGGGAGATGGGTATGTTCTCCAGATGCCATTTATGGTTTCTGTTAATAAAAAAAAAACATTTCTAAAATTATTTGATTGAAAAAAAACCCAAAAAGTACTCTTTTTGTATATTGGATAAAAGGAGAGTGAATAGATTCATACTAGTCGTATATCTTCACCTTATTCAATTATCAGATGCAGAATGGCGAAACACCTCACCGACAGTCAGATTTATGAATTTGTGAACAGTTGCGTGTTCTCATAATAAAACGACCCCACAAGCATTACTCCTAGCTGAACCACTCATTCCTAAAGGGATTGAAGCTATCTGCGGCTTTCAAGAAAAATGCTGCTCGAGCCTGAATAGGGCTTACAATGGTTATTAAAAAAAGAAGTGGTGGTGGGTGGGAGGGGGGGGGGGGAGGAGCTGCATGACAGCCATGTTCATTACTTAATAGCCTCGGGCTAAATTATATGGAGGTGGATGTTTGGTAAGCGTTGGGAGGAAAATTTGCTAATTGTCTTGTAACGAGATGTTAGTGGTAGGCAGCTACAGGGGCAGGATGAGGTGGTTCGTGTGTATGTGCAGGAAAAAAAAAACAGTGCATGATTGATGTTGATTATTATATGTGAGTAGTGCATGTAGGGTGTATGCGTGTGTATGGCATGCATTACACTTGCTCATTAAGTCACTAAGAGTAGTGCCATGCACAATGATTTTAGTGTCTATGAACAATCTTTGATAAAATATGTAAATAGATGAAAGCCTATTTTTCAAATCGCATGGACTCACTGATTGTCATAGCTTGTTGTCGCTGGAAAGAACGGATGAACTTGAATGGATGTCCTTCAATGTGAGAGCTTTCCCTGTAATTTGATTTTACATAAGTCTACTCTGAAATGGTAGAATACAATATGTAAATAGATGAAAGCCTATTTTTCAAATCTCATGGACTTATTGATTTTCATGAGTAAAATATACTGATGTAAAGAATTGATGTTCATCTAGGCCTTGAATTTCTTTCCCCCCCCCCCCTCACAAACATGTTACCATCTACCATAGATAGCCCTATTGCTTTTTGTCGCTGGACAGAATGGATGAACTTGAATGGATTTCCATTACTTTGAGAGCTCTCTCCTGTAATTTGATTTGACATAAGTCTACTCTGAAAGGGTAGAAACAAATCTTTTTTTTTTTAAATTGTAATTTTGTATGGTAAAGGAAACTAGACTTTGTATGGTTAGATATGTGTCTCATTTTATGTATAAACAAAATAAAAGTAAGAATAATAGGAAATGAATTGAAAAGAAAGAGATAAACAAGAGAGAGAGAGAGACTTGAAGATAGTGGTCAGATATGCATGTTGATTTCTTAGACCTGTTTTCCTCATCAGAATATCATCTGCTTTGCAGGAAAAGAACATCTCATATCATCTTAACACCGAGTTGATGCCCTATCCGGCTATTGTTTTGTACATGTGATTTGTGAATGCAAATGGTCCGGTTCTTTTCAAGAACTACCTGATATTCTAGCTAACAAAGTCATTAAATCTTCAGAGTATAAACTGGAAGTCATGACAGATCAACATTATCAGAATAATGATCAGGGCCTTGTTTCACACAACCTTTTGTAAGTTCAAGATCCCCAACATCCCGTTGAATTGCATGTAATTAAATTGACATGCATGGAATAATAATTCACTTGCATTTTAATGGGATGTCAGTAGTAGACTTGTACTTCAGACAGTTTCATGACACAATGCCTGGAGTTCACACAGACCCTTTCCACTAGTAACTTAATCTGCATTATTGTTTCATCTCTTTACAGATCAAAGATTACGAAAAACTTGACACCCTTGATGAAAGGCTAGAAGAAGCCAGAAGAATCTTTGATAACTACATCATGAAGGAAGTCTTATCATGTACACATGTAAGTGTTCAACAAAGTCAATTTCTTCTTATGTTATTTATGCCTTAGGTAATTTCCAGAGAATTAAGGGAATTCTCAAGATGAGTAATAGTTTCACTTAAGACAGAGACATAGATTTTTTCTGTTAGTCGATGATGTACTTTAAGTGCAAGAATTTAGGACATTCATATTTGTTGTATGAAAGACAATTGTATTAAAATGGAGATAAAAAGTGATCAGTGAAACTGCATTTTAAGAAAAACTTGTTCAAATTTCTCATGAAGTCACATATTTTAATCCTTGTGAAGAGTACTTTGGAACAGCAAAATGTAAACTTAAACAAACATATGCTGAAAGTCTATACCTCTCAATTTATAAGATGAACTACAGAAATTATTTTCATTTTGCATTTAAAGATAAACTCCAGTACTGGTAAAAAAAAATTAAAAAAAATTCTCACAGAATCAAACGAAACTTACACTGAATGTTCAAGATTACAAATAAATGACATGTGCCAAACAATTTTGGAAGAAAATGTATACTGGCTGAGTAATGAGCATAGAAAGATAAGGAAATCAAGGTAGTACTAGCCCCGACACCATGTGTGTTGTCCCATATGTAGCTTTCTATGTGAGTGCTTGTTACTTTACCAAGACTCGGTCAAATTTATTATGATTTTGATGACTCCAGAATCTTGCAGTGCACACCAATACTTACATGCTACATGATCAACTGTTTCTGATCCTTTCCACACCTTTTCTTTCACAATGCAATCGCATTACCAGTACTAAAGTTTATCTTTAAGAATTAATTTTTGATTTTTGCATTTTTTCCTTCTTTTCAGCAATTCTCAAAGTCAGCAGTAGAAAACGTGAGACAAAGACTGACCAACCAAGAAGCCAAACCAGACCTCTTTAGTGTAAGTACAATTTTATTTTTATTTTCCTCTAAAGAAAGCAAGTCCTCTGTTGACAATCAGAAGGGAAATGAAAGGCTTTTTCAGATATGGTGCTGTAGACCGCTGCGCATAAAAAAAAAGTGCTATGTTCTTTTTTTTTAAAGTGTAGAATGAATGGCAACTGCTCTGTACAAAGGACTTCAATGTATTCCCGAGCTCTGTGTTACAAGATTCATAAATGTGAAGTGTATAACTCTTAATATCATCATAAAGAAACGCTGGGTTTTTGCTGAGTTGTATCCGAGTGAGCCTGAACTGTGTGAAATGGTTTGACTTAATGTCTTTTGTGTCCCAGGAGATGAAATCAAGGATATTGTCTGTTCAGAGCCAAAAGGGCATTAATTGTGTGTTAAATCATATGAGTAGATGGGACGAAATACCATTCCGGCTTTAAACAGATGATATGATGATAGAGCTTTGCAAAACAAAGTGGATTAAATATGCAATTTTTGAAAATACTTTCATGTCTTTTAATGTGTATTTCACCCATACCTGATTGAAGAATTTGAATATTGTGTGCCTAGAATGAGAAGGACATTGAAATTATGTATCTGGCCTAACTTCCCTGTGGTGATATCGTCTGCTGAAAGAGAGAAGCTCAAACACTTTACCAGCACATAAATGCCCTTTTTGCCCTCAACAGACAATCTATTACTTTAACATCACAGGTCTCCATGTAGTAACAACAATATATGGAAAACAAAATACAACTTGTGATCTTCACAAGCTGAGGAAGGTTAGAGAGTTAAAACAATCAGCGACAACAACAAAATCAAAAATCATTAAAAACTGAATTCTATGCTTTAAAGATAGCAATGCATAACAAAAAGAGAAGAGAAAGAGAAAAGGAGAGAGAGAGAGAGAGAGAGAGAGGAGGGGATGGAGTAGTAGCGACAGTCAGCCACAGTCAGAGAGAGAGAGAGAGAGAGAGTGAAAGGAGAGAGAGAGAGAGAGAGAGAGAGAGAGAGAAGGGGAAGGAGAAGGAGATGGAGAAGTAGAGACAGTCAGCCACAGACAGTTAGAGAGAGAGAGAGAGAGAGAGAGAGAGAGAGAGAGAGAAAGAGATAGAGAGAGATAGAAATGGATAAGAGCCCCCCAAATTCTCTTTGACTTGACACTTTATTACATGGCTTTTCACTGCATGCACATGCAACACCACCCCCAGTCAGTCAGTCAGACACACACACACGTACTCTCACACACATACACACCGATATCTCACCCAGTATTGCTCACAAAGATACAACGTCCGCCAAAGTTATTACGCGCATTTGCATAATACATGCGCAGCTGAATTCCCACTCTGTACTCGGTGGCAAATGGCCACTGTAAGGTCCCTTCCACGCACTCACTGATATTGCTGTGACAAACTGCATTTACAAGTGTAATGTTACATGTTACCCATGGCATCCAATTTCCCTGTTATCGTCATTATTTTTTTAAACAGGTAGTTCTCCATTCATTTATGACACACACAGTAAAGACGTATATTATGAAATGCTTGTTCACATATTGGCAGTTTAGTACATGTAGCTTTATTTTGTATAGCTAGTGTAGATACATATTAAATTGGATTGGTAGATGAATAAGATGGATCGACAATAGATAAAGAATGTATAATATTAAAGGTATAAGAAGAATTTATTTGGACTTTAGACTTCTTGATATTTGGTAAATATGCACTACCTTGTATTTTTTTTTCTGACTGTAAATAAATAGATGTGTTTATGTAAATATATTAAATATAATGTAGGTATGGCATATTACCCCTACATTTATGGGAGAGAAAGAGAGAGAGAGAGAGAGAGAGAGAGAGAGAGAGAGAGAGAGAGAGAGCAAAGGTGAGTGGGAGGGGGAGGATGAAAAATCAAGAGGTTGCAAAACCTTTCAGAATCTTGAAGTAAACATGTTGAATCAAGTGTTCTCATGTTGTTTTCAGCTTTTACTGGAATTGAATTACAATCATTCGTGTGGATCTGTGTGTGTCTGCACAGTGCCCACGCAACCTTTTGAATCACTCTTGATTTCCCATTTATAATTTGTATGACCGTTGAGAGAGAAAAGAAATAATTATGAAAATTATATGAATTATTATTTCAAGGGAGCTTCCAATTACTATGTAACATAATTTTATGCAAAATATTGATGTGTTTAAAAAAAAAAAATCATTGCAATGATTCACAATCTCTCAAACTTATTGATTTCACCAATCAGTTGTACCTAAGTCTATTTTTTAAAGCAGATAAATGCATCTACCAAAACTGAAAAACCAGAAACTTTCATATGCATGAAATGTTCAGGAATTTTGTAAGGGGTTCAGAATCATTAGTTTCATGCTATAGAATAATGGAATCACAGTCTATGCCGGTCATGTTATTGAATAATCATTTCATGGCATAAATTTTTTGTGTGAATCTCAACAATTCATGAAACTAGTTTTATGTCTGCAAAACTTTCTTATTTTACAGAATTGATAGTTTATCTCTTACCCAAACTTGGAATGCCAATCAAAATTTAGGAAAAAGAAAAGGATAAAATGGTAAAGTTTCTGTTATCTTCCTTATAGCTGCTGTATTATGATTCAATTTTTTGTTATCAAAGTGCTTGAGATGGATATCAAATTTAGACAAGTTTTAATAAATGAGTGTTTCTTTAATAACAGGGTATTACCTGTACTTATGACATGAGGGTCAACATTTCAAATTGATCAGATTGGTATGAATAATGCTAGTTACAAAGCCTACTATGTATATTTCATTAAATTGAAACAGAATATAAAGGTTGGTCACACGTTTCTAGAGTCTCGCATATAGCATCACCTACATGTATCAACAATCACTATATACAGTAGTACATGTAGGGACACAAAACTGAAATCTCATCTATTTGATAACCCATTGAACTAAAACCAATCACCCAGTCAAAATGTATTTTTAGTTGCAATTTTGATACCAATTAAATAAATCATGACTTTGAAGCAGCCTGTTTTTGACCCCACTTTAAACAGTCATCATACCAATTTCGAAAGGCTACCATAATCCAAGCATAGCCAATACTTTTTCAAATGAAGTTTAAAGAATATCCAACACTTACCGAAGGGTCTCTTTCAGTAGAAATAGAAGAGGAGGGGCTTTAAAAAAAATCATTGTGGCCCAAAATATTCTTTATATCTAGGGAAAAAGGATACTGTTTTGTTTTCAAAGGTTTTCATATTTGAAACTGAATATTTTAATGGTGTGCCTGTTTCATGTAGATTGATTACATGACTTAATCTATAGGGTTTCATTATGTAACAGCCTAACAGGGACACCGGTGTCCCTTATTACATAAGTGAACTATTGTTATTTTTTCAGCACACTTTCTGCAAGGAACCTAAGGAAGTCAAGCAATTAACACTGTTCAAATTTGAGAATTCTTGTTTTTGATATACAGTTGGTGTCTCATGTTCAATTCAATTTTTGTTCAACATATTTTGAAATTTATTAGCTTTGTTACATTTTGTTTTGAATCCTTTTCATTACAAAGGTACTGTTTTTTAATTCTTTCATTACAAGGACATTGTTTTCCTATTCTTTGGAATCCCTTTCATTCAGCATTCTGTACTGTTTAACACCCATTGCAGTTTAACTTACATGTATTTACTTGTTTAAAGATTTCTAAAACTATAGCCTGCTTACTGTTGTTTCCATGCCCAGATGTTATCGCTTTATTAGTTCTCTTGTTTATTTTGTAACAATGCCTTTTTCATCTCATATTCTCAATCTACTCTCGAATTGATAGTAACTAATAAATGGACTACAATCAAATATTCTATTTTCTCAACATCTTTCTTTGGATTATAGCTTTTCACCCTAGAATCACGGTTTTCAAAGACGTTTAGTTTAAAACATGGTTGCGTTCAAGCGGTTTTTTGTCGGTCGTAAAAATAAACGTGTTTAAAAACACAGACATGGAAACGCTGAAAAAGATGCGTTTTGTATCTTGATTCTGCAGAACCACGGGTGCTAAAATTCACTTGAACGAACAGAGATCTCAATCATGATTCTATAATGTCATTATCGTGGCCTGCTTGTGACTGCCAGTTGACCATAAGCACAGACAGAAAGCATGCAGCGAAGTTGACCTATACTTCCTGGGTCAAACTGCACAGTGTGATGAGCAGTGGCTGGGCTTGAAATGGGCGAGAATCAGCGTTAATGACAAATCGCTTAAACGCTCTTCCGCAGTAATCATGTTTTTAATGGCGTTTTGAATTGTGATTCATGTTTGTGATTCTAGCTTTTAAAAAATCGCTTGAACGCACCCCATGATTCCAGACATCACTGAGCTCCAGTTACACAAGAATTAAAGGTAAAGGCCATTTATGGTCATGCGATTGCATTGTGAAAGAAACGTTGTGGAATCGATCAGAAAAGGTTGATCATCTAGCATCTAGCATCTGCAAGGTTCTGGAATCATCAAAATGATAAGAAATTTGGCCCATTCTTCGTAAAGTTACAAGCACTATACACAGAAAGACGTATATGGGACTACCCTATATCTCTCACAGACCATGAGAGAAACAAATTTACCAAATATATGAATTAGTAGGCGGTTTCCCAGCAAATTTTTTATCATCATGTATTAGTCAAAACATTCTTTCACATGATTGGTAATGAGAGCTTCCATTTCATTTTTTGAAATTGGGGCGTTTCCAATACTGGTCTTTACCTTTAAGAGGTGGATGCAGCTGACTGCATGCAGGAGGGCAAAAAGCATTTTCACCAAAATGCTTTATAACTATGTTAACCACCAAACCACAAATGGGAGATAAACTTTGAGTCGAAAAGTTGATTTTTTGTTTTAATTGAATTGAATAATGGAATGACTTCCTTAATATAACATCCTGTTCATTACTAATAATATTAGTAAATATCGGCGACCCCCATTTTGACTGCTGTGTTCCGATCATACGGAAACAC